TATGTCAAGGACAATGAGCCGGTCAAGTGGTCAGTGCTGGTCTCAAGAAGTTTTAGTCATTTTTTATTACAGCATGGTGCTTGTAGTAGATTTTGGTGAGGCGATTCAAAGATGTGTCTTGTCAAGGATAAGTAAGTGTAGTGAGATGAAGGCTAGTCACATTAAAGATTCAGGATTTGCTCCAAATGTGATGGCATCGTAGTACAGTGACACCCTGGATGACCGGACACATTCAGTTTTGAGTAAATCATCTGGATAACTTAATATCTGGATATCTGGATTTTTTGTTTTCATACAGCTCAAGGAAAATCCAAAATTTTCATGATCAACAAACCTTTGTTGTGTAGATATTAAAAGCCAGCATCGCAACGTAACAATCATAGTGATACCTTTACAATTATTCTGTCTTGAAAATGTCTTTGTTCTTGGGGGCGGTGGGGTAGCCTAATGGTTAAAGCGTTGGCTCGTTACGCCAAAGACCTGGGTTCGAATCCCCACATGGGCACAATGTGTGAAGCCCATTTCTGGTGTCCTCCGCCGTGATGTTGCTGGAATATTGCTAAAAGCGGCGTAAAACCAAACTCAGTCAGTCAGTCAGTCAGTCAGTCTTTGTTCTTGATTTTGTTCTTTGTAGAGACAGATTTCTTTCTTTTCCTTGGCTGTCACTGCCTAACGCCCATGTTTAGTAGGTTGACTGGCCATTGGTGATCAATTTTGAAAGACAGCCAACGCTGATGTGAAGGATGCCTCACGGATGCCTCAACACACTGCACTTTTTATTGACTGACTTGAATATCAACACACTGCACTTTTATTGCTTTGACTGTATAAACAACTGACTTGAAGGATGCCTCACAACTGACTTGAATATCAACACACTGCACTTTTATTGCTTTGACTGTATAAACAACTGACTTGAATATCAACACACTGCACTTTTATTGCTTTGACTGTATAAACAACTGACTTGAATATCAACACACTGCACTTTTATTGCTTTGACTGTATAAACAACTGAACAGTTAGAACTCAATGGTTCACTCGTGTCAGATAGGCCTACTAATCACCACCAATATCCTGCTGATCTGTCATTAATCCGGATTAGGCGACCTTGTCTCCTGTCAAGACACGTGGGACTCACGTGCTCCACATCACACTGTCAGCGGAAGATCAAAGCTTCGTGTGGATAAGTGAGTCAATTTTCTGTTGATGTAGCCAGTTCGTTTGTAAAATTTAGAATCCAGAAACGGCATATCCATTATAGACAGTCACTTTTGTCCATTTTGGTAATGAAATGCAAAGGCGTGTCTTGTCAAAGATAATAAATATCTGGTAGTCAAGTAAGATGAAGGCTAGTCATATTAAAGTGTAACAATAACATTATGGTGCTTGAAGTAGATGTTGGTAGGAGGTTACGTAAGTCTGCTCCATGTGTTGTTAAGGGCAACAAGTATTCGAGGTTGGTCACAAGAAAGTTTCAGGTTTTGTTTCAAACATGATAACGGCATGGTGCTTGAAGTAAAGGAGATGTATAGGTGTGCCTAGTCCAGTGGTCAAGGGTGTCCAGCATGTCAAAGGCTATGTGACAATCTCATAATAGATTCAGATTTTGTTACAAGATGACAGTTTGTGCTTCTTTGTTTGTGGTTGTGAGGATGACAGGGACTGATGGACCAGCATGGCTAGCAGTATGTTCTGGATATAGATGAATCTGATATATACTAAAAGTGTAACTATTTCACAAGGATTGATGACATGGTTGTTTTAAGTTTGGGATTAAGGAGAAAATGATAGTTGTTACCAAAAGTATTCATACATAGTGACTATTCAGCAAAAACAATAACCCCATTTTACCTATCGTATCTATTGATGTTTTCAGATGTTGTTAGAGCATGTGGATATGAGTATGACACACACTCCTATTCATTGTGGTTACAGTGATTAGAATTTGTCCCCAAAAACCTAAGCTGGTTGTAAGGCACAGTGGGTGAGTGAGTGACACCAGAAATGGGCTTCACACATTGTACCCATGTGGGGAATCGAACCCCGGATCTTCGGCTTGACGAGCGATTGCTTTAATCACAAGGCTACCCTACCACCCCTGTAATGCGCAGCATATTCGATAGCATGGTCAACCTTGGTGTGTTGGTTGATAAAGTGTCAGTGTACCCCAATGGCAGACCTGATTATCTTCAGGCTGTCACTGTATTGCAGGATAATTGCTGTAAAATTGCTGAGTGAGCCATTAGACAACACACAAACTCATTTGTTACATGCATAAGTTACATGCTGGGATAGACCCGTGAAAATCAGGGTTAGAACTGATCCTCAGCAACCCATGCTTATGATGTTGATCACTGGATTGTCTGGTCCAGATTTGATGTCAGGGTTCGAAATACCCCATATATTAGGGTGCAATGGCACGGTAAATACTGAAATGGCACGGATAAAAAAAATTCTTGTTCTTATGGCACGCATACCTCACCTTTAAAATAGTCATGTAATCCCCAAAACAAAACACTTACGCAAAGGACAAACAAGCAAAAACATTTATTGACTTTATCGCCAAGGAAATCACTGGAATTATGATGGATGATGTCAAGAAATCTGGCTGTTTTTCCATTTAGAGTGATGGGAGTACTGATAGATTGGTTATTGAAGAGGAAATGTTAGATATATTGAACAAGTAAACCTGTCACAAAATTCTTAGCTATTAAAGGTGTTGGGAAAGTAGAACAAATGAAGCTTAAGAAAGCCATCTTAAACAAGACATATCGGTAATAACAGAAAACAGGTTACATTTGTTGTTTACTGACATTACGTTTCAAATGATCATCATCATTGCTACATGTGGGCACACTTGATTTCTGAAAGGCACGTTTAAAATATTTGCCTGGTGCCCTGAGGCACACTTAGAAAAAGAAGTATTTCTATCCCTGGATGTGCTTTCTGTGAAGGATCAAAACCAGTTCCCCTCTGCCGCAGGCTTAGCTTTTCAAACAAAATCTCGGAGTCTGTTTCGATCCAACATATGAACAGACCGAAGATATACTATAGACATAATTTTAATTACTATTGAAATAAACTGGGATGTGACTGGCAGCCGATACCTTGCCTTGCGCGTGTAATGTATGTGCTCTGCATGCGCTTTCCGTGTCCTGCACAACCTGTCTTGTGAGGAGCACATGGTTCATACTGACACACAATCACATTCTTCATTCTTGACAGCGATCCTTCGTAGCCTGGTGGATAAAACCGCCAAGCTTGTAAGTGAAGGGTTGCAGGTTCGAAACCAGGCATCACCACAATATATTGGAAGTTTTCAATAATGTGATATTTTACGATCATATTCAGTAATAGCAAGACAAAGTTAAAGGGCCACTGATCCAGAGCAATTTCCGTGGACTGGTTGTTGCTTTTGTTATTGTTTTTCTCCTGTGAGTACCCGGATGATATCCCAGAATTCATGACTGGTTCGTTACCTCTGCTGCGCCACCCTCATGCGCAATTTATAGTATAAGTATAGACTGATCAACAAAGATGAATTTTTTTTTACTTGATAATCTTATGTAGATTTTGTTGTAAGATTATGTAGACTTTGATGAATAATTTGGTTTCTTATAAAAAAATATTCACATTGATAAAAATGCTGATTTTGTTGTAAAATTTTGATTTGATAGTAATGTTGACTTTATGAAAATGTTAATGTAAATGGATGTAGAATTTGATTTAAGAAATAGTTTGACCTTGAATTTGGTGAGAAGCCTGATATAATAGCATTGTTTTGAAAGTAAGGCTAACTTACTTTCATTAAGTTTCAAAGTACATGGTGAGTCTTGGGGAGAGTAGTGAGCTTGGGTTCACTACTAGTCAATCTGAATGTAGTATTAAATGGCATTATTTTGATAACAAATGAAAACATTTTAAGTTTAACCATCTGCCAGTGGTAAAAAAATGTTCGGACTGAAATAACGAAGTCAATGTACGTCTTTATATTTTGTCTTATAATCCTAATTAGTTTACTATCGTATTTGTATGCATTTTGAAACTTAATAAAATGTACACGATCTGCTTATACTTAGTGAATTTATAACAAGATTCTAATATGTAGACATTTGATAGACTGCCAACGTGTATCATATTTCACACACATGCCCTGAGTGCGACCTAGTGTATGTTGTCTGTCTCATTACACTTCACGGCAAAATAAATGATTCTGTTGAATGCCATAACAAATAAATAAAAACAAAATGCAAATATTAAAATTAAAACAGACTAAAGTTATAGCAACAATATCAGGCTCGGGCAAAGTGGGGTTGTTTAGTTTATGGATTCAAATATATCAAATGTGTGTTTTTGATATCATAGCATACGTAGACATCATATTTTTACATGATTAAATATTGAGGTAGAAATAGTATCAAATTGGATCAGTCACTATACCATCCAAACATTTGAAAATCTGAAAAAGCCTACACTGCTGGGATACTTTATTACAATCAGACAAGAACGTATGGGGATATTGTCAAATAACGGCATCTGATGGGCATCCACCCTTCCTAATGTCCCACTGATTAGGTTGAAGAAATTCTGCCAAGGTGGACAGTAGCCCAGTCCCCGCGTCCGTCACGGTCAAGGGAGCAGGGGCTGACCAGTTGGCAGCTAGGTTTCGTAATTAGACTGTTGGCTGGAAACATTAATCGCTCTGGATCAGTGGCCCTTTGAGTGAATCTTCAAAATTTGTACAAGGAAAATATTTCAAAGTAAAAGACTATTCCTCAGAAAATCCCTGGGCAATTCTGTAGAAAATCCCTGGGATTTTATGGAAAACCTGGCGAGAAAATAGATTGACATCACTGGAGGTTTATAAATTTCTCAGCTGTGTTGATATTATTCACTGATGGTGTAATCATGGTAAACTGACCTGTCTGCTGTGTCCAGGACCGAGCTGCTTGTGCTGGTCACCAGCCATGCTAACTGCTGTTGTCTTTCTGTTTCAGAGCGAACAGGCACAAACCCAGTTTAAGAAATTACAGTTTGCATTTGAGGAAGAAAAGGTAAAACTATCGCAGAATACATTTAATTTAGCTTGAAGTATGAACACTGAGACTAAGCACCATGTCAGTGAATATGTGTGAGCTACATACTTCGTCTTCCACTGACTTCCATCACTCAACATAAGGCTGCACATTTATATTGCTTGTAACAATAGCAAGGTTTGGACCCTGATTTCCACACTTATTTACGCAACGTGTACACCTGAGTTGTGTTTGTAAACTGATTGAAGTCACTTTTTGTACTTGATTTTTCAAACTAATATTTTGCTTCCATAAAAACAAATGTCTAAGTTTACAGAATGTCATAATAAGGCCAGACCAGTTTTATTTCTTGTTTTACGGATCTGCCGGTCAAATGTTTGCAAGAATAAGAAAAAAAAAGAAAAAAATATTTTCCCTGCTCAAAAAATAAATAGTAATATTTTTGTTGGCCAAAAATGTAAACTTACAAAAAATCTTTGTCAAACTTGTTTTTTGCCCAATATACACTTCATAAATTGCCAAAAGTAAAATGCTTTTAGTATTTAAAAGAAATAATTTACTTTGACTGGTGATGTTTTTTTTCCCTCCTGCCTTTAGGTTTTCTGAGGACAAAAATCCATAAAACAAGAAATAAAATTTGTCTGGCCTAAGCTGATATTTTATATATTCCTGTATTTGTTTTGGTATTAAGATGGGCGGTGGGGTAGCCTAGTGGTTAGAGCGTTCACCTGTCACGCTGAAGACCCGGGTTCGATTCCCCACATGGGTACAATGTGTGAAGCCCATTTCTGGTGTCCCCGCCATGATATTGCTGGAATATTGCTAATAGCAGCGTCAAACAGAAAACACTCGCTCACTTGGTCTATAGACTTCAGTTGAGGTGATACACTTACATGGTTTGTCTTGTAGTTCAAGGCCACACAGAAAGGATGTCAGCCATCACTGTTCAAGACCTACCTACAAGCCTTCTGGCCTATGCTGTTGCTGGCAGCCCTGTATCGCTTCCTCGGAGACTCACTGTCGTTCGTCGGCCCAGTCATCATTCAGTACATCGTGGACTATGCCTATGATATCACAGACCCTGAGTACCACAGCAGGAACAGGACGGCTATACATGTATGTGAGCTCTTCATGTCATCGTATCCCATTAGTGTATATCGATGCTCATAATGTTGATCATTGGATTGTCTGGTCCTGACTCCAATATTTTCAGACCACCAGGGATCTAGATATGGGCCATATCAGCGTATGTACGGATGATAAATATGCATGATACTGTAGGAAATAATTTAGAAAATGTAGAAGATACGCACCACAGCAGTGGTGTACGGTCTTAGAATCATTTACAGACATATTTATCTGAAAAAAGTATTGTTTTATTGTTTTTTCACCTGTTTACACAAGAGTAGCAATGTTGTGGTGCATATATGAAACGAAACACAAGATAACTGATACTCCATTAAATTACTTTCAGTACTCTAAATGTACTCTAAGTTTTTCCAGTACTCCCAGATTTACAAAAATAAGGAGTACGTACTCCTGATGTTGAAAAATTATCTGGAGCCCTGAGACCACTGACATATAGCTAGAATACTGTTGAGTTGCTCATTGACATTTCATTCATGTTTCATGTTTTAGCGTTTTAATTTTTTTTCAGTTTATTTCTTAGTCAGATTGGAAGTCAATATGTCCTGTACGTTGTTCTTTCAACTGTGTACACATTCCCAGTCTGTTTCGATGATATTTTTGCCAGCAGAATAGTTTTCAGAGTTGTGAACAGTCTTACTGCTATGTCTGATATTATAGTTAAAGATTGTTTGTTGCTTTGAGGCAAGTAACCTCCCATAACCCCTACAGCTTAAATTCTCTTCTCATCTGTATACATGTACTCTATGCAGCTTAACCTCACACTGTATACTCCACCCTGTAATCTCTCCTTTGGGTCACCGCCTCCGTGGTGTAGTGGTTAGAGCGTCCTCCCGGAGAGCAGAAGGTCGCGGGTTCGATCCCCGACCACGTCATACCAAAAGACGTTAAAATATGGTACTTGTTGGTCCCTGCCTGGCGCTCGGCATTAATGGGTACAACAAGGACTGGTCGACTCGGAGTCAGTATAATGTGTCTGAGTGGGGTATTCATGCTTCACTGTGGCGTGGTATCTCAGTGGGCTAGTACTTTAAAACCAGCTTCAGCCTGGGCTAGTACAAGCAGCCGCACATACACATACACATGCATGCACGTCGTCATATGAGCGAAATATTCTCAAGCACGACGTTAAACCCAGTTTCACCTCACCTCACCTCTCCTTTGGGTCAGTTCATTATGCCAGACGGGTAAATCCTGTGTGTTGTTTTAACTAATCGTAGGGGTACTGGGCTATAGGGGTTATGGGATGTAGGGGTTTTGGGAGACAACCTTAAGGCCACACTAAAGAATTATTCCACTTATCTGAACCAGACAACCCAATTATCAACGTGATGAACATCGGTCATTTGTCAAACAATTGCATGTATATTCATCAACATATTGTACAGATGTAAAACAGATCTTTAACAGGAGATATTCTACAGCCAGAGAGACTTTCAACAGAATGTTTTATACAGAACTGGGGTTTTAATATCTAGTTATATTTTATTGCATTGAATCAATCTCAAAATACTTTGTTAAAATATCTCTGAATTCAAAATTAATTTTAAAAAGCACACTGACCAAAATAATGCTTTTGTCTCCACGTTTGTGTGCATTTAATTAAGAATTCTACATATATCCCAGAGTTAGGGAATTCAGTAACTGCTAGCTCGGTGAAAGTTATAAATCTTCAGCTGGCTGAAGTGATGGTTGAAGGTCTTGAGTGAGTGAGTTTTACGCTCCACCCGGCAATATTCCAGCTGTATGGCGACGGTCTGTAAATAACCTTGTCTGGACCAGACAATCCAGTGATCAACATCATGAGCATTGATCTACACAAGTGGGATACAACGACATGTGTCAACCAAGTCAGCAAGCCTGACCACCCGATCCCGTTAGTCGCCTCTTACGACAAGCATGGGTTGCTGACCACTGATCTTCACGGGTCTGCGGGACCTGAACTAAATATGACCCCTGAAGGTCCGGGTTAGAATAAACCTTCAGTAACCCATGCTTGTCGTAAGAGGCGACTAACGGATCGGGTGGTCAGGCTCGCTGCCTTGGTTGACACTTGTCATCGGTTCCCAATTGCGCAGATCGATGCTCATGATGTTGATCACTGGATTGTCTGGTCCAAACTCAATTATTTACGGACCACCGCCATATAGCTGGAATATTGCTAAGTGTGGCATTAAACTCAACTCACTCACTCACTCACTGAGCTAAATATTCTTGGATTGCTGAATAGGCCAAGCTTTGTTGCCTGTGTGATGTAACAGACACACAGATGACACACACAGGAATTGTAATGTGTGAATGTTATGTTTCAGTATGTCAAAGTGGACCAGTTTGTGTGGAACGGATATGTTCTGGCGGTTGTTCTGTTCCTGGCTACGGTGTTGCAGCATACTCTGCTTCAAAACCACAACTACCTCGTCTACAGGGAGGGCATCCGACTCCGGACTGCCATACAGGTAACTCATGACAACATTCAAACTTACTGAGTTTGTCATTAAGTCCCATACTGTAGCAGTACAACTGCCTTGTTGAATGTGACCTTGGTCCTAGCTTGTCAGAGCTCTGTCATTGTGGTTTGCAATTGGGTCTAAAGGTTGCATTGGTTACAGACAAAGAAGCTTAAACATCGCTAAAATTCATTATCACATGATGATACCATTGTTGGATTAAAAATATGCTTGGATAAGATTTGTAGTGACATATATTTCCATCAGAGTTGATGTAGAGGGAAGTAACTCTTTTACTTGTTATTCAAAGAAAACGCTCAAAGCCACATTTTAACATATTCATTTCAAAAAGAGGGGGAAGCATTTTCATCAGGCTTATATTTTCAAGTCACACGACAACTGAACAAAAATTGCAGTACACACCATTTTCAAAAAGTCCCTAATTCTGAATACTAAGTTTGACCACAGACATAATGATAGTTGAATAAGTTTGTGTGGCCAAAGAGGCCTATAGATGAGATAAATGTGCTAAGTGACAAGACTGTCTGTGTTTCAGACTCTGGTGTATGACAAAGCACTGAGACTGTCGTCCATGGTGCTCAGTCAGGGCAAGATGACCATCGGTCAGATCATGAACCACATGATAGTCGACTCCATGTTCCTCATGCACATGTTCTTCTTCATCCACTACATCTGGGCTATACCATTCCAGGTAAATCTGTCATACCAGGTAAATCTGTCATACCATTCCAGGTAAATCTGTCATACCAGGTAAATCTGTCATACCAGGTCAATCTGTCATACCAGGTAAATCTGTCATACCATTCCAGGTAAATCTGTCATACCAGGTAAATCTGTCATACCATTCCAGGTAAATCTGTCATACCAGGTAAATCTGTCATACCAGGTAAATCTGTCATACCATTCCAGGTAAATCTGTCATACCAGGTAAATCTGTCATACCATTCCAGGTAAATCTGTCATACCAGGTAAATCTGTCATACCATTCCAGGTGAACTCTCATACCAGGTAAATCTGTCATACCATTCCAGGTAAATCTGTCGTACCATTACAGGTAAATCTGTCAAACCAGGTAAATCTGTCATACCATTCCAGATAAATCGGTAATACCATACAATGTAAATCACACCATTCCAGGTAAATCTGCCATACCATTCTAGGTAAATCATTCACACCATTCCAAGTAAATCACACCTTTCCAGGTAAATCTGTCATACCATTCTAAGTACAGTGAAGCCCCGTTAGTCCGGACTCCGATAATCCGGATGTCTCGTCTCCCGGACGATTTTAGCTTGTTACCAATCTATGCCTAGATAATTTGCCTCGATAATCCGGAAATTCGGTTTCCGGAACCGGACGGTAAGTAGCTGTCACCAATCAGTAAAATAAACAGTAAATTGCTTCACAGTCCGGACGCTGTAAGTCGTGTTCACGAACCGTAACAACACCTCCCGGCGATGTTTACTTAATTAACTGGCCAACTGGGTTGTTGTTTTAATAAGACATTAAAAGCTCCCGACTCAAGATGCTGTACATTTACACTTTGATTGACACCACAATACAAAGGCGTGGGTGATAAGTGAGCTGTTTTGTGATTGGTTAATGTACTTTGACAGACAGATCCGGTCACGTGGACTTAAAGTGATTTTGCTTTACGTCAACGCTGTGACGCAACAAGTCACAAGTGTGCTTCGCTAACTTTGCGAAATGTGACCAAATACCGCGTATCATATTCAACCGATGGATGCAGGAATAATTCGGACATTCAAGGCATACTACAATAGATCGCTTGTTAGACATTACCTCACCTGTGCTGAGGAAGGACGTGATCACATACGTCGGATCAACATGCGGATGTCACTCGGTAAAATTATTGATGTGATGAATTCAATAAGCTTTACATTAAATGCTTATCTGTTTTATCCAGATTCGTGTCGTTTTTGTAATAGTAAGGGAAGCAACTTGGGTCTTGATTCAGTAGTCCGGACTATTCGCAATCCGGACGAATTTGCTGAGAAACGCAACCGTCCGGATTAACGAGGCTTCACTGTATATCATTCTCATTATTCCAGGTAAATCTGTCATACCATTGTAGGTATATTATTCATACCATTGTTTAGCTCATGGCAGGTAAACATTGCACAGCTTATTTCAGGGTAAGCAACTGTGATTCAATCAGGCCGCTATGACACAGGTGGATTATTGCTTACAATGGCAGAATATATAAACCCTTTTATGTCAGATTATACCAAAAACAGAGATTTCACAATTCACTCACTTTACCTGCCTAATGACAATCAAGCTTCTTGTCAGTAAAACCTGTGAAGATCCGGGTTAGAACTGATCTCAAGTAACCCATGCTTGTCGGAGGAGGTGATTAACGGGATCGTGTGGTCAGGCTCGCTGACACATGTCATCGTATCCCAGTTACGTAGATCGATGCTCATGATGTTGTTCACTGGATTGTCTGGCCCAGACTTGATTATTTACAGACCACTGCCATATAGCTGGAATATTGCTGAGTTCAGCGTAAAACTAAACTCACTCACTCTTGTCGGTAGATGCTTCCAACTGGTGTCAGACATACAGATATGAATATAGACGATCAGGCAATCAAAACATACAACTGTTGTGTCTCCAGGTGTTTGTGACTATTATCCTGCTGTATTTCCGGATGGGCTGGAGCGCTGTGATCGGTGGAATGTTCGTCGTCTTGTGTGGCCCACTCATCTACATCGTCGGTGTCATCATGTCACGACTCCAGAAAAAGCTGTTGGTAGGTTGTCCAACAGATTGTTGTCTGTTATGTCGTCAGCATGTTCACCGGTTCGTGACAATCTGACAACATTCGTGACAATCTGCTTGAAGCCCCATTATGAGTAATATACAGATACACAGGCACAAGTCTTAAAACCATCTTTGTCGGCTGAGCTTTTTGTAATATTTTGTTAATCCCAATAAAATATTGTGTGTTCTTCAATTTCAAATTTGTCAAAAGTTGATGTCATTCATAATTATCCCGTGAATCTATTGAAGCAAACTGGTCCCATTATTTATTCAAAACTAGAGAAATAATTGGATACAGTTTCTCTTGTGATTGTTGCTCACTTCCCCAAGAAATACAGCTGTGCAGGAGGGGTATGCTGATTATATAGAGGCAGATGAGTTTTTATTATTACGTAATAAGTATTATTATTATGTAATATGTAATAATAAGTAGCGAGTTACTGTCAACATGTGACACCAGAAACAGCATGTCGTCAACTCAGCACAGAAGTATGCAGTTTAGTCTTTAAAGTAGTAAATAGTAACTGTAACTAATTGTTTCTTCCTGACCAGGTTCAGTCGGACGGACGGGTGAAGAACGTGAACGAGCTGATGCAGGGAATCAAGTCCATCAAGCTGCTGGCATGGGAGGACGTCTTCACTCGCAGAGTCACAGAATCCAGACAGAAGGAGCTGCACCACCTCTTCCCTCTGCTTGTCATCAGGGCACTCATTGGTCAGTACTGGTCATGTGATTATTGTCAGATGACTCATTGGTCAGTGGGGCGGTGGGGTAGCCTAGTGGTTACAGCGTTGGCTCGTCACGCCGAAGACCCGGGTTCGATTCCCCAAATGGGCACAATCTGTTAAGCCCATTTCTAGTGTCCCCCGCCATGATATTGCTGGAATATTGCTAAAAGCCGCGTAAAACTAAACTCAGTCAGTCAGTCAGTCATTGGTCAGTACTGGTCATGTGACTGTCATCAGGGGACTCTTTGGTCAGTACTGGTCATGTGACTGTCGTCAGGGCACTCATTGGTCAGTACTGGTTATGTGACTGTCATCAGGGGACTCATTGGTCAGTACTGGTCATGTGACTGTCATCAGGGGACTCATTGGTCAGTACTGGTCATGTGACTGTTGTCAGGGGACTCATTGGTCAGTACTGGTTATGTGACTGTTGTCAGGGGACTCATTGGTCAGTACTGGTCATGTGACTGTCATCAGGGGACTCATTGGTCAGTACTGGTCATGGACTGTCATCATGGGACTCATTGGTCAGTACTGGTCATGTGACTGTCATCAGGGGACTCATTGGTCAGTGCTGGTCATGGGACTCATCATGGGACTCATTGGTCAGTACTGGTCATGTGACTGTCATCAGGGGACTCATTGATCAGTACTGGTCATGTGACTCATCATGGGACTCATTGGTCAGTACTGGTCATGTGACTCATTGTCATCAGGGGACACATTGGTCAGTACTGGTCATGTGACTGTCATCAGGGACTCATTGGTCAGTACTGGTCATGTGACTCATCAGGGGACTCATTGGTCAGTACTGGTCATGTGACTGTCATCAGGGGACTCATTGGTCAGTACTGGTCATGTGACTGTCATCAGGGGACTCATTGGTCAGTACTGGTCATGTGACTCATCAGGGGACTCATTGGTCAGTACTGGTCATGTGACTGTCATCAGGGGACTCATTGGTCAGTACTGGTCATGTGACTGTCATCAGGGGACTCATTGGTCAGTACTGGTCATGTGACTGTCATCAGGGGACTCATTGGTCAGTACTGGTCATGTGACTGTCATCAGGGCATTCATTGGTCAGTACTGGTCATGTGACTCATCAGGGGACTCATTGATCAGTACTGGTCATGTGACTGTCATCAGGGGACTCATTGATCAGTACTGGTCATGTGACTGTCATCAGGGGACTCATTGGTCAGTGCTGGTCATGACTCATCAGGGGACTCATTGGTCAGTACTGGTCATGTGACTGTCATCAGGGGACTCATTGGTCAGTGTGACGCGCATCTGGTCATGTGCTGTTAATCAGTGTACTCTTTGGTCAGTACTGGTCATGTGACTGTCATCAGGGGACTCATTGGTCAGTACTGGTCATGTGACTGTCATCAGGGGACTCTTTGGTCAGTACTGGTCATGTGACTGTCATCACGGGACTCATTGGTCAGTACTGGTCATGTGACTGTCATCAGGGGACTCATTGGTCAGTACTGGTCATGTGACTGTCGTCAGGGCATTCATTGGTCAGTACTGGTTGTGTGACTGTCATCAGGGGACTCTTTGGTCAGTACTGGTCATGTGACTGTCGTCAGGGGACTCATTGGTCAGTACTGGTTATGTGACTGTCATCAGGGGGACTCATTGGTCAGTACTGGTCATGTGACTGTCGTCAGGGGAGGCTCATTGGTCAGTACTGGTTATATGACTGTCATCAGGGGACTCATTGGTCAGTACTGGTTATGTGACTGTCATCAGGGGACTCATTGGTCAGTACTGGTTGTGTGACTGTCATCATGGGACTCATTGGTCAGTGCTGGTCATGTGACTGTCGTCAGGGGACTCATTGGTCAGTGCTGGTCATGTGACTGTCATAATCAGCATAAAAGGACTCACAAACACTTGGTCAGTACTGGTTGTGTGACTGTCGTCCAGGGGACTCATTGGTCAGTGCTGGTCATGTGACTGTCGTCAGGGGACTCATTGGTCAGTACTGGTCATGTGACTGTCATCCAGGGGACTCATTGGTCAGTGCTGGTCATGTGACTGTCATCAGGGGACTCATTGGTCAGTACTGGTTGTGTGACTGTCATCAGGGGACTCATTGGTCAGTACTGGTTATGTGACTGTCATCAGGGGACTCATTGGTCAGTACTGGTCATGTGACTGTCATCAGGGGACTCATTGGTCAGTACTGGTCATGTGACTGTCATCAGGGGACTCATTGGTCAGTACTGGTTGTGTGACTGTCATCAGGGGACTCATTGGTCAGTACTGGTTATGTGATGTGACTGTCATCAGGGGACTCATTGATCAGTACTGGTTATGTGACTGTCATCAGGGGACTCATTGGTCAGTACTGGTTGTGTGACTGTCATCAGGGGACTCATTGATCAGTACTGGTTATGTGACTGTATCATCAGGGGACTCATTGACTGTCATCAGGGGACTCATTGGTCAGTACTGGTTATGTGACTGTCATCAGGGGACTCATTGGTCAGTACTGGTTATGTGACTGTCATCAGGGGACTCATTGGTCAGTACTGGTCATGTGACTGTCATCAGGGGACTCATTGGTCAGTACTGGTCATGTGACTGTCATCAGGGGACTCATTGGTCAGTACTGGTCATGTGACTGTCATCAGGGGACTCATTGGTCAGTACTGGTCATGTGACTGTCATCAGGGGACTCATTGGTCAGTACTGGTCATGTGACTGTCATCAGGGACTCATTGGTCAGTACTGGTCATGTGACTGTCATCAGGGGACTCATTGGTCAGTACTGGTCATGTGACTGTCATCAGGGGACTCATTGGTCAGTACTGGTCATGTGACTGTCATCAGGGGACTCATTGGTCAGTACTGGTCATGTGACTCGTCATCAGGGGACTCATTGGTCAGTACTGGTTATGTGACTGTCATCAGGGGACTCATTGGTCAGTACTGGTCATGTGACTGTCATCAGGGGACTCATTGGTCAGTACTGGTCATGTGACTGTCATCAGGGGACTCATTGGTCAGTACTGGTCATGTGACTGTCATCAGGGCACTCATTGGTCAGTACTGGTTGTGTGACTGTCATCAGGGGACTCATTGGTCAGTACTGGTCATGTGACTGTCATCAGGGGACTCATTGGTCAGTACTGGTCATGTGACTGTCATCAGGGGACTCATTGGTCAGTACTGGTTGTGTGACTGTCATCAGGGGACTCAGGGGACTCTGGTCATGTGATTGGTCATCAGGGGACTCATTGGTCATGTACAGGGGTCATTGTCAGACTGGTCATGTGACTGTCGTCAGGGGACTCATTGGTCAGTACTGGTTGTGTGACTGTCATCAGGGGACTCATTGGTCAGTACTGGTCATGTGACTGTCGTCAGGGGACTCATTGGTCAGTACTGGTCATGTGACTGTCGTCAGGGCATTCATTGGTCAGTACTGGTTGTGTGACTGTCATCAGGGGACTCATTGGTCAGTGCTGGTCATGTGAGTGTCGTCAGGGCATTCATTGGTCAATGCAGTATTTTGTTAACCAAGAACTTGACCCAGCTTAATATGGTTGTTTACAAGTTTGGATAATGGTTTCTTTGTAAAAGGTGCTGAGTGAAGTTTGATACAGATGGTTTACTTTTATCAAGAATATTCATACTTAATTTATTTTGAATTCCCATGGCAAATTTTTGAAAACTATTTTATGGATTAAGGAAAACCAACTTCTATGGATAGTCAACTTCTTTATTGCAATGAGTGCGATGTTTCTAACACAGTTATCAAGCACTTGATACCTACACCCAGAGTGTACCGTATTAGTGTGCCTGCTCACTTCTATTGCCATGTTCAATCAATATTTACTGTTGTGAGAAATACTGATAAGAGAATAATGTTGTGTTGTCCTTTCAGGATTTCTTGGAATGGCTGCTCCAGCTGTGGGTGCAATATTGGTAAGCAACCTTAGCCACATTATGAACATAACCAACCTGTGAAGAAGTAGTCTTCAGCAACCCATGCTTGTTGTAAGAGGCGAATAATGGGATCGGGTGATCAGGCTCGCTGACTTGCTTGACACATGTCGTATTCCCATTACATAGGTCGATGCTCATGCTGTTGATCACTGGGTTGTCTGGTCCATCCTTGATTATTTACAGAATGCCACATATAGCTGGAATATTGCTGAGTGCTGCATTAAACAACCAACACACAACTAACCTATAATGAACAACACTTCATTTCTGCTTGACATGTAGATGTTATAAGTTGTGTTTTTGTGTTGTAAATATCATATTAGGCCAGACCAATTTTATTTCTTGTTTTACAAATTTTTATACTCAGAAAACCTAAAGGCAGGAGGGAAAAAAAATAAAAAATAAAATCACCAAAGTAATATTCCTTCTGAATACTAAAAGTATTTTCCGTTTGGCAATTTATGAAGTGTATATGGGGCAAAATACAATCTAAAAAAAAATGTTCTTGTAAGTTTACATTAGGATTTTATTTTTGAGCAGAAAAATTCATTTTTTATTTTGTTTTCTTATTCTTGAAAAAATACGACCAGCGGATCCATAAAACAAGAAATACAATTGGTCTGGCCTTAATATAAACTGTATCATTTCTGGAATATTACTGACTGTGGTATGAAACAACATGAACCAGACTATCTGAGTTGCTCTGTTTTCTTCTTGATCTCATTACTGTAATACAGACATCTATCTGTGGATGTTTTGTAGACATTCATCCTTTACCCCTACATGGAGACGGAGCCCCTGACGGCTGGTCGCACCTTCTCGACGCTCGCTCTCTTCAACATGCTGTCCACTCCGCTCCAGCTTCTCACCATATTTGCTGCATCATTCGCCAATGCCAAGGTCAGTGGTGCCCGGCTTGTGCCATACCTGCTGTCACAGGAAGTAGAGGGCGCTCACATCACTGGCAACAACAAGACGAAGACACACAACGTTGGCATAGACACTGCAGAGGAGGAGGTGAGTGTTATCCTTGATGTTGGGGTGGAATATCCATGGTGAGAATAATTGCCGAATTCGTGTTTTTCGTGTTTTACTGTGTATGATATTTATCCCCTTAAACAGATTTTGCACAGGATATTATTTCGGACTCCGTCCGTCTATCTGACTGTCTGTCCAAATTTGTCTTTGGGCAGAGCAGAACATAAAAAATGTTCAATATTTCTTCACCAAACTTTGCACATAGATAGGTCTGGTGGTAGATCTTTTTCGGTGCAGAACTTTAAAACCATTCACTACTCTAATTCCACTTTGTGGGTATTCAAGAACCTAATGACATAAATCAACAGTACCACTCTATTTCCAGTATCAACATTACTGAGTTACATCAAAATGTGGAATCACTCAGGCAGTCTGTTGTTGATACAAGCATGATAGTGTATGAATAGTTTACATATGTATGTTTTCGTTAGATCAATGCAAAGAGCAATGTAACATTTGACATAGTCATAGCTAGTTGACATGATCATGAAGAGTATGTTACAATTGCGGGGATATTGATGACTTTGTCTTCTTGTTAATTACTGACATGAGAACTGTGTAGTAAACCTGTTACAGGCAAATTGTCAACAAAACAGTTTTGGAAAATAAACTTTTGTTTTGATGTCTCCTTGTAAGTAGTAAATCCTTCTGTGCAAAGCCATTACTCCATCAATGCATTCACCATCCCATCCTATGCCATCCCATGCCATCTCATCCGTCCATCCATCCATCCATCCATCCATCCATTCACCATTCCATGCCATCTCGTCTTGTCCCGTCCCGTCCCATCCATCCATCCATCCATCCATCCATCCATCCACCCATTCACCATTCCATGCCATCCATCCACCCTCGTCCGTCCATCCATCCATCCATCCATCCATCCGCTCCATCCATCCATCCATCCATCCATCCATCCATCCATCAAATCCATCATCCATCCATCCATCCATCCATCCATCGAATCCATCCATCCATCCATCCATCCATCCATCCATCCATCCATCCATCCATCCATCCATCCATCCATCCATCCATCCATCCCCCACACTCTCTGTGTGCCTGGCTGATAATGCTATGTTGTGTCCAGGCTAAGCAGGACTCGATGGTGCAGTATGATGCCCAGACAGGGTTACCCCTGACGACCCTGACGAAGGACGAGGCGTTCTGCAGCAGCCAGAGTTCCCTGGGTAGTCACATCTCACACACCCCAGGACACAGCAGGCAGAACAGCGGAGCATCCTTGATGGATATATTCGATAACAAGCGTCTCAGCCTCACACACAACTCCAGCTCAGACTACTTGGATGTTAAACCACTGGCGCTGGTACGCAAGACAAGCTCGCCACTCATAGGTTCCCACGCGGAAAACACTGCTGATCGCAGAAGGAAGCGGAATCACAGTGGGTTTTCCACAGAGGACGAGGATGATATTGCTGATGAATGCCTATTGATTGAGCTCCGCACGGTGTTAGAAATATCCCAGGCTAACTTCAGCTGGGAGCTGGAGAACCGCACGGCCCTCTCCCTGAAGAACATCAGTCTGAAGATCCCAACAGGGAAGTTAACGATGATCGTTGGACCCGTCGGGTCAGGGAAGTCGTCTCTGATTTCGGCCATGCTGGGAGAAATGGTCACCACATCGGGCATAGTAGAATGGTCCAGGTGAGTGGGTGTGGTCCAAGTTCGTCAGTGAATGGTATTTAGAAGCTTCGGTTAGTGAATGAGTATAATATCATGCAGTTTCTATACAGTGAGACCCAGATACCCGGACACATTTCAGTGTTCACGAAAGGTGTTTCAAGGTAACAGACATTGGGTCCTGCAAGTTTCAGATGTCTGTCTGACCCATTGAAAATTCACAGGACCCATAGAATAAAATTAAACATACATTTCAGATTTAATATTTCTTATAATTGGTATTGAAATTATTAACAAACATAAGATATATAAATAGCAAACAAGTGTCACATGTCACATATAACAACTTAAGTCAAAGTCATTGTGAAATATACAGTCAGACACTGGGGCCGGTGGGTTGTAGACTTCTATCTGATCATTGGCAGATCTGCCGGATTTTTCAGAGGGTCAGGCACTATTTGTGAACACTGACATTTGTTTTTGCGTAAAACTGAATATCCGGATATCTGGATTTCTGTCATCCAGGCTGTGGTGTTGAAACGGTAGCAAGCATACACTTCTGGTTTAAAATCACTTCCAAAACAGTGTGGTTGTTTTGATTTGCCAATTACAATATTCACTCAGTGTCAGATAAGCCTACTAATCACCACCACCACCTATACCCAGCTGATTGGTCATTAATCCGGATTAGCAGACCTTGTCTCATGTCAAGACATGTGGGGCTCTCGTGCTTCACTTCAAACGGTCAGCGGAAGATCAAATTCTTTTTCATAGAGATCGTCCTTGGGGTACATATATGCATTTTCTGCGGCTGAAAATGTCATGTGACAGTTGTATCAATGTTTTAATAAAAATATTGTACAATAAATAAAAAATCTTTCTTATCTATTAAAAAGATTATTATTTATTGTACAATATTTTTATTAAAACATTGATACAACTGTCACATGACATTTTCAGCCGCAGAAAATGCATATATGTACCCAAAGGACGATTCTCTTCAAAGAGTTGGAAACCTCTACAGGTTTAGCTAAGTTTTGTACGGATAAGTGAGTCAGTTTTGTGTTAAATTTGCCGATTGGTTTGTTAATGCCTGGAAATGAAAACCGCATGTCCGTCACTTTTATAATGTAAGAAATTGTTGTTGTTATTTATGAAAATTGTCCAGAATTCCGGAAATCTAGATTCCGGGTATCCGTGGTCTCACTGCACCAGCAATATATCATAGTTAGCTGCACCAGAAATTGTGTGTTTCATATTTTGTGCCCACAGAACTTGGTTGTCAGTGTGAAAAGCAAACATTTTTATTGTTTTCAGTGAAAGACATTGTAAACTTTTACTTCTTTTTGCATAATTTTGCAACCAATGCAAGACCGTAAAGACTTTTTGCTTAATTACAGGCACAAAGTCAGCCGCCCAACCTGCTCAGCCACCACGACTTACACAGAAATGGACGTCGGACAACTGGTAGTCTAGATTCATCCGCAGTTGTGGTGGCTGAGCGGGTTCGGCGGCTGACTTTGTGTGCTGACTCTCTCTTTGACTCTCTCTTTGTAGTTTCCTGACTCTGAGGGTGTGGGTTCAAATCCCAGATGGGACTCAACCCAACAAGAGTACTAGAATTTGTACTTTACTAAGAAAGTGTAATCCCAAATATAACCAATGTTTTATTATTGATTGTGCCACCACCCATATTTTACTAATCGTATCCCAGATGCTCGTGCTGTTGATCACTGAATTGTCTGGTCCTGCCACCATATAGCTGGAATATTTTAGCAGGGCCTAGATTTTCAAAGCTCTCTTAACGCTAAGATAGTCGTAAGTGCCATACATTAACATTACCTTACGACTATCTTAGCGCTACGAGAGCTTCGAAAATCTAAGCCCAAGTTTCTATTAATCCTCAATGACACAAATATGTCATGTTCTGTACCAGACACACCATGAAGTAGCTTTAAGCGGCCTCCACACAGCAAACTAAAATTTGACAACACATGATGTCAAACTCGAGTTTGATAGTGTGAACATTCCAACAACTCGTCACCAACACCAATTTCAGAGTTGTTAAACTGTTGTCGAAAAATAGGATCGGTCTCTATTCTCACCAACTTTTCCATCACACTTTTGGTGTTTGACTTGTGAAGTGTTGTCAAACTCATGTTGTTCAGAAACAATCAATCGCAGTCAACGAAATTGTCATGTGACCACACCGATAGAGACATGGGGCTCAAATGGCACAAATCTTTGACAACATGCGTTTGACATGTGAAAATGTTTGACAAATTTTAAATTTTTTAACAACATGAGTTGTTAAAGTTTAGTTTGCAATGTGAAGGCCGCTTTAGAATGTATTGAGTGTTATCAAAGATTATATAATTATTCTGTTTGGTCTGAACATCCTACTGGACCTTAATCACATATTATCATTTCAGAGACACAGGGATATCATATGCTGCACAGAGGGCATGGCTGCTTAATGCATCTGTCAGAGACAATATCTTGTTTGGAAACCCTTTCATCTGGAGAAGGTACGGCCATGTTGTACAATAGACCTGAACAATGTAAACCCTGTAACTTACTGGACCAAGTCGGCAGGTTCAGTTGCATATTGTTTGGATAACCTAAAATGAATTACCATATTTTCTGATATCATCGGGGGTGGTGGGGTAGCCTAGTGGTTAAAGCGTTGGCTCGTCACGCTGAAGACCCGGGTTCGATTCCCCACATGGGTACAATGTGTTAAGCCCATTTCTGGTGTCCCCGCCGTGATATTGCTAGAATATTACTAAAAGCGGCGTAAAACCATACTCACTCTGCTATCATCGTTGGTAAATAAACAAATAGCAAGTATATATAAGAAGACTGATGATAATGTTATGGATATACAACTTCTTTAGACAATTAGAATCAATGCCGAAACGTCGCCTTTCACAGAATGAAAAAGTTGTATATCTGTAAAATTATCATCATTCTTCATCACCTCAACTTCTAAAATGCCCATTAAAGAAGTATATATAATACAGTAAGACAGAAACTGTTTACAAAAAGTAGTTATTTGTTAAGTCTCTCAGATAAACCTGTTTGTTCAGGATATTGTAATATGCAGGCCTCGTCATGAAGGTGCAGAGTTGCTGTCCTTCAAAATTATCATGACCTTACGAACAAATTGTTGCTGATACAGTAAGACTATGGAAGCTATCAAGTCTGGAGAAATAGGTCATGTTACTGGTTGTGGTTACAATTTTTCCTGAACAGACAGGTTGCCGAACCAACAGATAAAATCAAAAGTCAAAATACTTTGCATAATTTTTTGTAAAACAGGCCAGTGAAATTCGACTCAAGATGAAATTGACATTATAACGCTTAACGCAACAAAGATTGCCCAATTCAACAGTAACTTTCACTGTGAGGGAGGACTTTGTGTGATATATGTAGCACTTGTTGGTCTGTTGCCTCGAATAGCTGCAACATTGCTGATACAGCGTTAAGCGGTATTTACTTCTGTTGTTGGTCTGTGTTTATTTGGTATCTGTTTTAATATACTGCATTGAAGATATGATAATGGTAATTATATGGCATTTGTAATGTGCTGTATTCCGCACCATGGAGGGGCATGCTCAAAGTGCACGATCTGATTATTATTACCCCGGATAACCCAAGCTACCTGTGAGGCACTAGATGGTTGATAGTCACATGACTTATCCCAAAGGGTGGGTGAACAGAGGCAATTTTGAACAAACTCACTTGCCTAAGGTGAGAGAGACCACCTGTATCACATGTGCTTCGTTGTGGGGCAGGACTGAAGTCCTAGACACTGTCAGGAGTCAGCTGCCAAACACAGTCACCCATCCAAGGACTCTCCGCGCTCAGCGTTGCTTAACTTCAACTGATTTGTGACCTGAACTCTATGAACAGGACCACACGTCACCACATATTAAAATTACACAGCTGCAATTTGTTTGATAGATGTTGATATTATCCTGCATGTTTGTTTATGTTGTGTTCCAGATACAAGAAGGTGTTGTCAGCCTGTGCCCTCCAACAAGACATGGACACCCTCGTAGCTGGAGACCTTACAGAGGTCGGGGAGAAGGTAGTGTTTCATCTTTGTAACACAGACAGATAAACAAATCTGCAGTGTTCATTCTTCCAGAGGCAATGCGATAGCATAATATCTGTTCACAGGACAAGATGTTGATTTTATGGCTGCTTGTGTCTTGCAGGGCGTGACCTTGAGTGGAGGTCAGAAGCAGAGGGTGTGTCTTGCTAGGGCTATCTACTCAGATGCAGACGCTGTCATCCTGGTGAGTGGACACATATTGAACATATTAGCCAGAATTCTGTTGGACACATTAGCCAGAACACCTGTTGAACTGATTCACCAGAACACATACAGAACAAGTGAGCCAGAAAACCTGTTGAACACATTTGCCGGAACACATACTAAACACATGAGCCAGAACACCTGTTGAACACATTAGTCAGAACATATACTGAACACATGAGCCAGAACACCTGTTGAACACATTAGCCAGAACACATACTGAACACATGAGCCAGAACACCTGTTGAACACATTAGCCAGAACACATACTGAACACATTAGCCAGAACACCTGTTGAACACATGAGCCAGAACACATACTGAACACATTAGCCAGAACACCTGTTGAACACATTAGCCAGAACACATACTGAACACATGAGCCAGAACACCTGTTGAACACATGAGCCAGAACACATACTGAACACATTAGCCAGAACACCTTCTGAACACATGAGCCAGAACACATACTGAACACATTAGCCAGAACAACACATAGCCAGAAACACATACTGAACACATGAGCCAGAACACCTGTGAACACATGAGCCAGAACACATGTTGAACACATGAGCCAGAACACACATTGAACACATTAGCCAGAACACCTGTTGAACACATGAGCCAGAACACATACTGAACACATTAACCAGAACACCTGTTGAACACATTCATGACATGGAACATATTACTTTTCAATTTGGAATTAATGGTATTTTACAAGGTTTTTGACAAGTATAGTACTAAACAAAAATCAAAATTGTATACCCAGTAGTTGCTGTAATATATATCAATAAAAGAGAGGACTATGATTTGCCAGTTTGCCATGGAGTCTCCAAGCCTTTTATCAGGTCCACAGTACTTCTTACAGTCCATTACATATTTAGGTAGCTGCAGTGATGTGTGATATTTCTTCAAGCTACAGCTAAACAGAACCATGATGGTCTGTGTAGAAGTCCATCAATACTTGTAGTCCTCAATGATTCCTCCTTTGATGTCCAGGACGACCCATTCTCGGCGCTGGATGCTCATGTGGGCCGCCATGTGTTTGAGGAGGCAATACAACGACGCTTGTTGCGGAGGAAGCGATCTGTGATCCTTGTTACACACCAGTTGCAGTATATTGGACAAGCCAGTCAGGTAATACAGCTGTAGCATTGGACAAGCCAGTCAGGTAATACAGCTGTAGCATTGGGAACAAGCCAGTCAGGTAATACAGCTGTAGTATTGGGAACAAGCCAGTCAGGTAATACAGCTGTAGCATTGGGAACAAGCCAGTCAGGTAATACAGCTGTAGCATTGGGAACAAGCCAGTCAGGTAATACAGCTGTAGCATTGGGAACAAGCCAGTCAGGTAATACAAGCCAGTGTAGCTGTAGCATTGGGAACAAGCCAGTCAGGTAATACAGCTGTAGCATTGGGAACAAGCCAGTCAGGTAATACAGCTGTAGCATTGGGAACAAGGTAATACAGTCAGGTAACAAGCCAGTCTACAGTTGTAGCATAGCATTGGGAACAAAGCCAGTTAGGTAATACAGCTGTAGCATTGGGAACAAGCCAGTCAGGTAATACAGCTGTAGCATTGGGAACAAGCCAGTCAGGTAATACAGCTGTAGCATTGGGAACAAGCCAGTCAGGTAATACAGCTGTAGCATTGGGAACAAGCCAGTCAGGTAATACAGCTGTAGCATTGGGAACAAGCCAGTCAGGTAATACAGCTGTAGCATTGGGAACAAGCCAGTCAGGTAATACAGCTGTAGCATTGGGAACAAGCCAGGCAAATACAGTCAAGCAGGTAATACAGCTGTAGCATTGGGGTCAACAAGCCAGTCCAGGTAATACAGCTGTAGCATTGGGAACAAAGCCAGTCAGGTAATACAGCTGTAGCATTGGGAACAAGCCAGTCAGGTAATACAGCTGTAGCATTGGGGACAAGCCAGTCAGGTAATACAGCTGTAGCATTGGGGACAAGCCAGTCAAGCCAGTCAGGTATAATACAGCTGTAGCATTGGGAACACAACAACAGCCAGTCAGGTAATACACAGTGTAGCATTGGGAACAAGCCAGTCAGGTAATACACCTGTAGCATTGGGAACAAGCCAGTCAGGTAATACAGCTGTAGCATTGGGAACAAGCCAGTCAGGTAATACAGCTGTAGCATTGGGAACAAGCCAGTCAGGTAATACAGCTGTAGCATTGGGAACAAGCCAGTCAGGTAATACAGCTGTAGCATTGGGAACAAGCCAGTCAGGTAATACAGCTGTAGCATTGGGGACAAGCCAGTCAGGTAATACAGCTGTAGCATTGGGGACAAGCCAGTCAGGTAATACAGCTGTAGCATTGGGAACAAGCCAGTCAGGTAATACAGCTGTAGCATTGGGAACAAGCCAGTCAGGTAATACAGCTGTAGCATTGGGGAACAAGCCAGTCAGGTAATACAGCTGTAGCATTGGGAACAAGCCAGTCAGGTAATACAGCTGTAGCATTGGGAACAAGCCAGTCAGGTAATACAGCTGTAGCATTGGGGACAGCCAGTCAGGTAATACAGCTGTAGTATTGGGGACAAGCCAGTCAGGTAATACAGCTGTAGTATTGGGGACAAGCCAGTCAGGTAGTATGGGGACAGCTGTAGCATATTGGGACAAGCCACAGGTAATACAGCTGCCAGCCAGTCAGGTAATACAGCTGTAGTATTGGGGACAGCCAGTCAGGTAATACAGCTGTAGTATTGGGACAATCCAGTCAGGTAATACAGCTGTAGTATTGGGGACAGCCAGTCAGGTAATACAGCTGTAGTATTGGTCACAGCCAGTCAGGTAATACAGCTGTAGTATTGGGGACAGCCAGTCAGGTAATACAGCTGTAGTATTGGGGACAGCCAGTCAGGTAATACAGCTGTAGTATTGGGACAAGCCAGTCATGTAATACAGCTGTAATATTGGGACAAGCCAGTCAGGTAATACAGCTGTAGTATTGGGGACAAGCCAGTCAGCTAGGTAATACAGCTGTAGTTTTGGGGACAGGCAAGTCAGGTAATAAAGCTGTAGTAAATTGGGCACATCACGCTCACTTTTGAACAAGTTTCAGTTTTGTTTTGTATTGACAGCTGGCCCTCATGCTATTGCAAAGAGACATCACTCTAAATGAACTTACTTCACTGGAAAATGTCTTCCTATTTTGGTTTATGAAAGTTTACATTTGTGTGACCTCCAGCTCATGTTATACAGGTGATCGTGATGAAGGAGGGTGAGATTGTATACCAAGGCCGGCCAGGAGACGTCAAGAAGTATGACCAGGATCTCTACGACTCCTGGAAGAAGGCCTTAAAAGATGCCAAGCCTGCAGACTTGAAGTAAGCCATTCCGTTTATTGCCTTTGTTAAGTGGTAAATGTACTTGGATTGAACGAAGTACAGGACAACCCCTGCTGAGGTTAAATGGGGTTTTATGAGCTTATTGTACTGGTACACTAACATCCATGGGTGTGTGTACACGCCTGGTTTGATGTCGGTGTTATCCTGCCAGTTCACGGAGAAATATTGAGAACAGGTCTTCAGCAATATCGCTGTGGTACATCAGACTTGGGCTTGACATATTGCACCCTTTATAAGGAATCAAAGCCAGACTACGGCGTTATGAATAAAGAATTTAACCACTAGGAAACCATTTAAAAAACCAGACTACTAGCAGACCAGTCTTTCTGTATTCTATCTATACAAGGGTTGGTAAACAAGTAGATGGCCTGACTATATTCTCACTGTCCAATGTTTGAAAAGCTTCCATTATATATTCACATTTTACTACGCGAGATTTGATTGGTTTGCCACGATACTTGGCAGTAATGGACTACTATACGAGTCTTCTTGTAGGTCGCAGAAAGAGGCGAGTAGTTACAAATGAATTGTGAAAAGTCTGCTTTAACTGAAAATGAAAATAGCTCTTGTTAATCTCAATCTGTAGTAGAAGTTTGTTATATGCAGGAAACTTCTTTCTGTGAACAGATTGTCGAAGGAGTCTGACTTGGAGGGAGACAGAAGACAAAGCCTGACTGAGAGACCCCCATCTGTCCAGGTACCTCGAGAAATTGACCCCACTAGGACAGAGTAGATCCCTGTTTTATGAACCTCCAGTCACGTCACTATTGTGACTGTCTCGCCAGGTTCTCCTTTAACGAGTAAACCTCTTCAGACAGTTTTGTGGGCATTCTCCAAGAAATCCCGTGGATTTTCTTTGAATTATTTTACTTGTGTAAAAGATTAATATAAGTTTGTGTTGCTACTACTGAATACGGTCGAAAATATCACATTATTGAAAGCATCCAATATATTGTGCTGATGCCTGGTTTCGAACCTGCAACCCTTCGCTTAGTGCTTGGCGGTTTTATCCATTAGGCTACGAAAAATCGCTGTGAAGAATAAGATTGTTTGTCAGTATGAACCATGTGTTCCTCACAAGATGGGTAGTGCTGGCAGGGCACGTGCAGGACACAGCAAGCACTCGGTATTAATGGGTACAACAAGGACTGGTCGGCTCGGAGTCAGTATAAATGTGTCTGAGTGGGGTATTCATGCTTAACTGCGGGCTGGTATCTCAGTTAGCTAGCAATATAAACCCAGCTTAAGTCTGGGCTAGTAGAAGCAGCCACACATACACATCCATGCAGGCAAAATATTCTGAAGTACGATGTTAAACCCATTTCACTTCATCTCACCTCCTCCATCATGTTGCAGTCCAACCTCAGTCTGGCCGTGTTCAGTCGTCAGATCTCACGGTCACAGATGTCAGTGATGACGGAGGCCAGCAACGAAGACAGGAATGACGAGTTCGATGGAGAGAAGACGAAGCAAGGTCAGTACCTGGTGTGTGCACCTCACCTGGGATGCATCTAGCCCAGCAGATACCTACTGATTTCACACATATACTTAGACGGGAACACCCGGGTTAGAATTGATCCTACAGAACCAATGCTTGTCGCAAGAGGCGACAAACAGGATCAGTTGGTCAGACTCAGTGACTTGCTTGATACTTGTCATCATATCCTGTAGATTGATGCTCATGCTGTTGATCTCGAGATTGTTATTATTGACAAATGCCACCATATAGGTGGGATGTTGCTGTGTGTGGCCTAGAACAAACATGTACATACTACAGTGGAAGCTGGCATAAAACCGGCATAAAATCTCAGTGCTCTCCATGGCTGGTACATTTATTATCATTTAAAAGCTCTGCAATCTGACAGCTGACAATTCCGTGTCTCGGAATGAAATGAGCCACCCAAATATGTGTTTGTATAGTAATCAGCACTGTCTAATCCGGCACGAGCGAAGAGTCGGCCAGACGTGTATTGTCAAATGAATCCTGCGTTGAAACTATATGGCTGCCGACAAGGACAGTGTAATCTTAGTTCAGTATGGGTATACTTGTACATATAATTAGTGAGTTGACACGTGAGCTCAAATCTTTGTCTTTTATTGTTAATGTGTTCTAGTCAACAATGTATATAGGAGAGACAAAACTGGTAAGTTCTGTGTCCAGCTCTACAATCTGGCTAAACTGGATTGTTTCTTCAGTCCCGATGTGTGCTGGTTTAGACAGCTTCCACTGTACTCTGCATTAATGTGGATGTTCAGACTGCCCTGGTTGGGATAGCTTGTGGATGTTCAGACTGCCCTGGTTGGGAATGATGCCCTGGTGGGGATTTCAGGCATACTGAATAGTATTCAGTGATGGAACTTCAAACAAGTGCAGTTTCATGTTAGTATTAATCAGTTCAGTGTGCTGATGAAATATCTGTTATCTCTAATCAATTTTGAGTAGGGCCAGGTAAGGTAATAAGTACCCTCTTTAACTGTATAGTGGTATTCTGGAGGGGGCTGGGCGGACCTTCTGGGCCATCGATCCTCAGACCTTCAGACCTCCAGGTGGACGCTCGCCCACTTCACGACCGCTACAGAGTTGACAACACGTTGACTGGACAGACGCATTAAACCTGACACATTCATGTTTTGTTATTGCTGGGTGGGTAAAGCTCTGCAAAAAGGATGATTATATGGTTCGTGGTCCTGTGCACATAGCTCAGGTTAAAAATCAGTTTGAGCTGATCGCGGAGAGTCCTTGCATGGGTGACTGTGTTTGGCAGCTTGATCTTGACAGTTTCTTGGACTTCAGTCCTGTGATACATGTGGTCTTGCTCACCTTAGGCTGGTGAGTTTGTTCAACAGTGCCTCTGTTCATCCAGCAGAAAATGGGTACCATGTGGGATAAGTCATGTGACTATTAACCTTCTAGCGCCTCACAGGCAGCTTGGGTTATCCGGGGTTATAATATATAGATTGTGCGTTTTGAGACGGATATGAAGCCTGAGAAGGTGCGTTATAAATATTCTTCTTCTTATTATAGTATATATTGAGTGTGACTGACTGGCTCCATCTTGCTAATATGACAGCATCATATGTGTGTGGGATTGAGACTCATATGATGCTATCAGCCTATGTTTGAATCTGGCATATATAATGGTATGAAACATGCTCTTTCAATCAAAGTTTGTTTTTGTTTGCTTGTTGTTTCACACCACACTCATGCAGCGATATTCCAGCAATATGGCAGGAATCTGTAAATGATAGAGACAATCCAGTGATCAACAGTATGAATCTGATTACTCGCTTCTTAAGACAAGCATGTATTGCTGAAGACCAATTTGAACCTGGATATTCACAGGTTGACACTTAAGCTTCCACTTTGTAACAGGTGCAATGTTTTTAGTCAGTAAGAAAACTCTAACCTGGATCTCCACGGATCGCTTTGGTATATGAGAACTTACTTCTGGGAAAGTTGTGGTCGTCTTGCAAAGAAATGCATAGATTTTGACAAAATTATTCGATTTCTAGACATTTTAGAAAAAAGGTTAATAAAATGACAGTATGAAAACCGAAAAAAGTTTTGGATTGCATTACGGTATAACGAACCAAAGGCAAAATACAGGGGTTCTACTAATATCACGGTATACTGTTTCACCCCTAACTGGTTGAAACTGCATGACCAGACTGGATGGAGTGGGTTCATGTCTCCTAACCTGTGGTGTTGTTCCTCAGAGGAGATGCAGGAGGAGTCCGGGAAGCTGATCAAGAAGGAACACAAGGAGGAAGGTGTAGTGATGGGGCTGGTGTACATGTATTACTTCCGAGCGTGCTGTATGGCGCTGTGCGTCGTCACGCTGCTGCTGCAGCTCCTCCACCACAGCCTCATGGTGTCCGCCAACTTCTCCCTGTCCATCTGGTCCAGCCAGGCCAACAGGTTCCAGCAGAATCTCACACACCACCCTCCACCTCCCAACTCTACAGTGCCGGTAAGTTTATCTGTATAGTTCTACAACAGGGTTTGAGAAACACATCACACCAGATTGTGCATGAAGCCCTATTCAGTATGGCGAATACACAGGAACTGGATTCCAGAATGCATTGTGGGTTACTTGGCAAAGTACTGTGGGTAGGATTGTTTGATAACATAAATATATAAAGATAAATAGTAGTACTTTGTTATGCAAAGTAATAATGTACACAAAGAACTTAATTAAGCACCCCCTGTATTTTTGCAATGTGCATGTGCATAAAACTTCCTTGTGGTGACCACGATGGAAATACGTGAGTTTATCTGACCCCTATGATCCTTTGACTCATATAAAACGACAAAGTGATTGCCACCGTCCTGCCTCAGGTTGTTGTCCCTGATCCAGCAGAGTTCCTCTTTACGGAGGAGGTCTTTGCTCCAAGAAGGGTGCCGAGGTTCGCCTACATATTCTACCATCACTGGTCATTGAGATGGCCGAACCTCTCTATATGGTAACCGTTCTCGCTTTGATCTGCCAAATCTAAGCCGTCAGTACCTGACGGGGGAAGAAGGCCTCCTGGAGCCATTAGTCATGGACGAGTACGTCTATGCCTCTGTCACGCTGGGTGGGTTTTCTGGAACGCAGTACAGCAGCTCCGAGTGGTGGTTCACTCAGCTTACCTTGATGCTTTGTAAGGAGAGCTAGTGGACCAGGGCCAGAGTTTGCAAGGAGAGCTAGTGGACCAGGGCCAGAGTTTGCAAGGAGAGCTAGTGGACCAGGGTCAGAGTTTGCAAGTTGAGCTAGTGGACCAGGGCCAGAGTTTGCAAGGAGAGCTAGTGGACCAGGGCCAGAGTTTGCAAGGAGAGCTAGTGGACCAGGGTCAGAGTTTGCAAGTTGAGCTAGTGGACTTTGCAAGGAGAGCTAGTGGACCAGAACCAGAGTTCCAACTATTCGTTGTCGTCATCTCTTGCACGGCAGGTTACATTCTCACTTGGCACGGAACAGCATACGTAGCTGTGCTGGGGGGACATTGCCATGTTAGTGGAAAACACTTGTCTGTATTGTGCCCAATAGTATTCTTTGAACAAACTGCATTTCTATCCCAGACCTCTGATCATAATTCCCCTGCTTTTCCAGGTATTCGACAGTACTCCACATGTGAAGCTGTATGCAGCCCTGTCGCTGTCGGCTGTGGCAGGGGCGATGCTGGCGTCCCTCATTCTGTACTTCACAGGGCTACAAGGGGCGAGGACACTCTTCAAGAACATGCTCAGCAATGTCATTCAAGTCAACATGAGGTACAAACTTCTCCATAACTGAAGGAAAACCAAGTTGTGTGGATAGTCAACTAGTGCATGAGTGCGACGTTTCGGTGAAGGTACTAACACCCTTATCAAGCACAGCGACTTGCTTGATAAGGGTGTTAGTAACTACACTGAAACATCGCACTTGTTGCAATAAAGAAGTTGACTATCCATAGAACTTGGTTTTCCTTCATCTTTACAACTTCTAAAATGCCTCTCAAAGAACTTCTCCATAACTGACCCAACCTGAGCCTAGATTTTCGAAAGCTCTCCTACTGTTAAGATGGTCACAAGTGCCATACACTAACATTAACTTATGACTATCTTAGCTCTAAGAGAGCTTCGAAAATCTAGGCCCAGGTGGCTAGTCCACAAATTGTCATGCAATGTGACTTTGTTTTAGGCATTAGTGAGTTCAGTTTAACACTGCAAAGAATAATATTCAGTTATGTCACATCATATTGGCTTGTGTGACGAAAGTGGTCCCATTTGTCCGATCAATAGTTTATTTTGCTTTTAGGCCACCGGCCCATAACAAAAGTTGTAGAGTAATATTTACATAGACAATAAATCACATGATGTGCATAAGCGTTATGAACATAATAAAGATTTCCTTAATACAGTTGCATGATATATATAATAAGCTAACATTCGTAATTAAAACATCATTATTAGAGGTCGTTAATGATATAAAATTATGCCCCACTGTAGGTTTAGAACATTTTCTGGTGTGTATTTCTGTCTAATATTATTAAGAGATTAAATTTTCGAATATAAACTGCATTTCATCTTCTCTTTTACCGTTTTTACAAAGTTGACAATATCTGTCCTCCCTGATAATACCCTTAGCCCTCCCGGTTTCTATTCCTAATTGTAAAACTCCACACCTCAAAGTTGCAGATAATCTTCTATACTTCTGTATCTTAAGAACATTTAAATATCTTTCTGGTTCATATATTGTCTTAAAATGCCTAAATGTACATAATATTGAAAATGTTTTTTATCGTTAGTCACCTCTTGCGACAGGCATGGCTTGCTGAAGACTGATTCTATCCCTGTAATGCATGGAACAGCTTACCCAAACTCACCTGAAGAAAACTTTGAAGTTGTGTAAATGTGGAGTTACTTTGTTGTGCCAGGATTTGTAGACCAGTCTGAATGACTACATTTCATCCTGAATCATTACTAGGGTCAAGATCATGTATAGTGGAAGTTATCTTCATCAATGTCCTGATCCTTCCTCCAAGTAGTGTAACAGCGGGTACCCATGTCATCTCAAGAAACAAGGGAGTACTTGTAGTGGTTCGAGGGATTTATTCTGACAAATGGAAGTCCAGATCTGCCCTGAAACATACATAATTCAATCATAAACATCATGGCAGTACATAGACTCAAGATAACGATATTACTTATAACACTTTTAAGATTTACAGTTCATTTCTGTATACTTTACAAATCCCCTTTAGATAAAACATATTACACTTTATATAAAGATCATGTACATGCAATTGAACATAAATATATTACCTCGTCTCAGGGACGCAGGCTGGAATGAGTGATCGATGTGCAGTGATAAGCCCTGCACAAATAAATATACCATATAAATATAGGATAATAGTTATGGTACACTTACGTTAGCATGTACAGAATACATTATACATTCCCAAAATAATATACATACATACATGATACATAGAATACTTCTAACCCGTTTACACATACAAAATGCACATATGTTATATCCTATGAAATACACTTGGCATATACCTCTGTTGAATACACAAGAAAGTTGAATTAAACCTACCTTACAATATAATACACTACGAGCTAAAATACTACATATATATAGCAATGCTTAAAATACATAATAACCAAACCTAAGATTCCAGATGCAGTAATAAATGAACTTACCCTATGTGATCTTGTGCAGAGAATGTGCTCACTAGCAGAAAGGAGGAATAGGCTGACTGACCAGCAAAAGTTTGAAGCAGTCACTCCACATGACTAAAACAATCATGTGGCCCCAGAGAACAATAAAACCCTAATCACAGGCCAAGCCTGTGACTGCCCGAGTGACAATACCCATGAACCTATATACAATGAAAAGGCTGAACTACCCAAGCTTACCTATGAGTTAGTAAATTTGTGCAACTGCTGAAGTTAACACAAGTATTTAAGGAAAGTGAATTTTAAATATCTAGGTTTAGGTTATTAAATATTTAGGTTTAGGTTATTAATTTACTTCATATAAGTTTACTATGATGATGATTAAAATCTAACAATATACTATTTACAAACATATTGCTACAGTAGCATAATCACCTCAGTGGTGTAGTGGTTAGAGCATCCCCCCAGAGCGTGGCCATGTCATACCACAATATGTTAAAATATGGTACTTGTTGGTCTCTGCCTGGAGCTCAGCATTTATGGGTACAACAAGGACTGGTCGGCTGAGAGTCAATATAATGTGTGTGAGTTAGGGGTGACTGTTGAGGGGGAAGCAACTATTGGGACATACTATTGCGATAGTGATAGTCTATTGCTACCAACTATTGCAATAATTTATTTCTCCTTGAATTGTCTGATTTGAAGTCATTTCCCAAATGAATATATAGTTTATATGAACTAAAAACATGTTGAAGTAGTGTCAGTTTCTTTTAATAACTGACAAGAAACTTGAAACCCAGATCAAGTAAACTCAACGAAGCTGCAAGTCTGCACCCAAACATTCTTTACTTTGCGCTGCGCATTTATCAACGGAAGTCAATTACTAAACTATAGATAGTAACACATACTATCGATGCATCGATAGTTTTTCGTTTCTACCATCAATTAATTGCTATCAGAGACTCAACAATTGCAATCCGTCGATAGTTCGATGCATTGTTACAGCCCTAGTTTGAGTGGGGTATTCATGCTTAACTGCGGCATGGTATCTCAGTGAGCTAGCACTATAAAACCAGCTGGGCTAGTACAAGCAGCCACACATTCACACACATGCACGTCATCATATGAGCAAGGGACGCAGGGAAGCCTAGTGGTTAAAGCGTTTGCTCATCATGCCAAAGACCCACATGGGTACATTGTGTGAAGCCCATTTCTGGTGTCCACCTCCGTGATATTGCTGGAATATTGCTAAAACCGGCATAAAACAACTCACTCACTCATATGAACGTGAACGAAATATTTTCAAGGACAATGTTAAACCCCATTTCACCTCCCCTCCTCCAGTAGTGGGCAGAATGTTATTACAAATTATTTACATTCTTGATTATCATGGCACTCTGTTTCAGATTCTTCGACACAAATCCCAGTGGACGAGTGTTGAACAGGTTCACCTCCGATGTGGCAGCTGTTGACCAGGTCAGTCTTACATGTCACACACGTCTTTACTGCATAGGGGCGGTGGGGTAGCCTAGTGTTTAAAGCGTTCGCTCGTCACGCTGAAGACCTGGGTTCGATTCCCCACACTGGGTACAGTATTTCTGGTGTCCCCCACCGTGATATTGCTGGAATATTGTTAAAAACGGCGTAAACCTACCTCCCTCCCTCCTCACTCACTAACCTACCAAAAAACACTTGCCAGGAGATGATGGATCTTTAATAATTACATAATAAATAGCAACTATAATCATAAAAGGTCCATACTTTTAATTCTACCATGACTTTGGTACCATGACTTGATTGTGATTGGTTAATTAAAGTCATTCAGAAGTATATTATCACGTTATATACCTCTGATTTTCCAACACAGTATGTATAATTTTTTTTAATGTTAATAAAGCAGTTATGGTAGAATGGAGAAAAACATACTGTGTTGGTTTTGGTTTTAAATACGCTTTCGGTTTTAAATCAGATTTTGAGCTATTCAATTTCGCAATATACCTCTGATTTTCCAACACCTGTCTTTCCACTATAGGTAATGATAACGGAAAGACTTCTGCACACATACATACACACGCACACGCACACACACTTAAAGTTCATTCTAGTCAAATCACCTGAATATATATTTCTCATCTGATAAGGATGAGTTTTAACATGTTTCCTTAATTGTATCTGAACATACTGAAAGACCTATTCAACTTCTATAAGTGCGACTCAAAGAAACTGTTCCTCATCGTTAAAATTTAGGGGGGATATGGGCGGAAGTCTTACCCCAATGCAAACATACTGCATTATTTCAATACAATATGTAGATATTGGCTATTTAACTTACTTGATTTTTTACCTCAACTTGTCCCTTCACTGACCTGAGCAGTTCTGTCAAGTGCTGGTAGACTTTCAGGGTGAACAAAACATGGAGTTTAACAATAGGTGTAAGCTTGGCCAGTCAGTCTGTTGAGCTCCTTGGCATGGGCAGTTAGAGAGTGACAGAGAAGTACAGATATAGTGTGTGGGTACTGACTAGTAGAACTTAACAAACTGACAGCTAATCATTTATAGGAAATATGTGTAAAATATTTGTAGTTTAAAAGAAATATCGACAAAGAAGTACCTCTGCCACAATAATACATGTACACAATCTAGGGTTACATCAAGAAACATGTTGAGTACATCACAAATTTGATATCGGATGTGTTGCATTTGGTCAATAATTACTTTCCAAATTTTCAAACAGAGAAAATGGTGACTGCCTGTTTGCTTGAATGTGTTGAGACAATTGGGGAATACCCTGATTAACTCTTAATGTATCATTTGTTAATGATAGAATAATTGCAGCTTTTTACAATTATAATACAGCCTTAAATAAACTTTAAAAATTTGACATTCCATTAGGATCTATACACAAAGAACTTAGTTAAGCACCCCCTGATATATATCTCACGATTGAATTAGCTCTGATCTTGACCCTTTGGAGCATGTCTGGGACATGATTGGTCATCATGTGCAACAAAGGGATCCTCCTGTACAGAACCTGGCCCAATTGGAAGCTGCTCTACACGAGGAATGGCATAGACTGCCCCTTCAGAGGATCAGGAGGCTGACAGGGGGTATGAGGAGGAGTGTGCTGGCTGTCATATACAGTCACAGTGTTGACTGTGAATTGTGTAACACACCCAAAATGACATTTTGAATGTTCACATTCACCAATAAGTTCAACATTAAACATTCCAGGGCCATACTTCTACAGACATGGCTTTGTATGAAAATCAGTGTGTTTTTTTTCAAATGAGCAATTATAGAAAAAATCAACATAAATTCCAATCATTTTGTTGTTTTTATGAGTCAAAGGATCATATGGGTGAGAAGAACTCATGTTTTTCCCATCGTTTTATGTACAAGTTGAAAACCTATCATCTGCACAAATACAGGGGGTGCTTAATTATGTTCTTGGTGTATATTATAATAATACTTTGATGCAACAGGGCCCACACAGGACCATTGATCTGTCAAAACAAGCAGGTACTTGAGCTTTCTTTTTTTTCAGAAATTAGCAGCCAGTTTTGAGAGTTCTTTACGATGTCTCCTGTACACGTTCTCAGCCATTGTGGTGAACAGCATTGCAACACCCTTCTTCCTCCTCGCAGCTCTTCCTCTGGTTCTCCTGTACTACTTCCTCCAGAGGTTCTTTAGGAACACCTCCAGGTCAGAGGGTGTTCTGAAAGCAAATTTAACCAGGTTTAGCAGCTTTATGTCTGGTCTAAAGTGTACAATATTGTCTTGTTTTGTCATATGCTTAAGCATGATGATGCAAAGGTATGTCATGCTAACACACCCTCTTGCCGACTTCATGAATCTTTGTTTATGTAAATCCCATTTAGGTCAACCTAAACTTTTTTCTTATCACATTGCAATGGCAAAGTTGTCCAAGACAATCTGTTATCTTTGCAGAGTGGTCTCTCTTGGGCCTACCAGACACTTATGATCAGTGTGCGAAATAGCCACTGGCCCACAAGCCTGTGGCTTGTAAAATCCAGTCGGGCCAGTAAATCTCCACAGTCACTGGCCCGACTAGTTAGTGAATTTTCATTGGATTATTTTGTAAAATTTCACTCTCTCCGACCGATGCTTGTTAAGTTATACTTACTCAATGAAACGCTGATAATACACTTTTTTGCAGAATTTTTGATCATGCAAGATTATGGCCTGATATAAATGTTCATCATATTAGCAGCTTAATGATGAAACCCATGCCCTCACAGAGTTGGTATGATGTTTTGATTATGTCAATATCTTATTCTCATCTATTTTTTTATTCTTTTGCTTTGTTTCTACTTTCAGATTTTGGGCTTGTGAATTATTTTGTGGGCTAGTAACTTTCAGGCATAGCTAGCCCGACTGGCTAGCAAGAATTGGAAACTATTTCGCACACTGCTTATGTTCCTGGGTTTGAATCCCAGTTCACTCTGATTATGTTTGTAGGTTTGTCTTGTGAGTTTCACCAAAGTGGTAGACTTTTGGCTAGCCTTCCAGATACAGCTTACTTGCTGTGATCTTGCTGAAATATTGGTGAAAGTGCTGTTACCTAAAACTCACACACTCAACAGGTATGTTCTTGGCTTTGATTGTTATGTTGGTATCTGTGGTTTCAGGGAGTTGCAGCGTCTCGACAGTGTCACCAAATCTCCTGTGTATGCTCACTTCGGGGAGACGCTTGGTGGACTGCAGACCATCAGGGCATACAGGTCAGTACAGGGTGTAATTACAAACAGTCAACTTTAGACCAAATATCTGTCTCTGAGCAGGTCTAGACAAGTCCCAGTCAGTACAGGGTGTAATTACAAACAGTCAACTGTAGACCAAATATCTGTCTCTGAGCAGGTCTAGAGAAGACCCAGTAAGTACAGGGTATAATTACAAACAGCAGACCCTAGACCAAATATCTGCCTCTGAGCAGGTCTAGACAAGACCCAGTCAGTACAGGGTGTAATTACAAACAGTCAACTTTAGACCAAATATCTGCCTCTGAGCAGGTCTAGACTAGACCCAGTCAGTACAGGGTGTAATTACAAACGGTCAATTATAGACCAAATATCTGCCTCTGAGCAGGTCTAGACAAGTCCCAGTCAGTACAGGGTGTAATTACAAACAGTCAACTTTAGACCAAATATCTGCCTCTGAGCAGGTCTAGGCAAGACCCAGTCAGTACCGGGTGTAATTACAAACAGCAGACCCTAGACCAAATATCTGTCTCTGAGCAGGTCTAGAGAAGACCCAGTAAGTACAGGGTACAATTACAAACAGCAGACCCTAGACCAAATACCGTATCTGCCTCTGAGCAGGTCTAGAGAAGACCCAGTCAGTACAGGGTATAATTACAAACAGCAGACCCAAGACCAAATACCGTATCTGCCTCTGAGCAGGTCTAGAGAAGTCCCAGGTCCTCTCTGACAGGCTTTGTCACACAACCACCTGAGTTGATGTTGTTTGTTGTTTACATTGCATTATTCCAAATATAATGATATTGTTGTATGCAAAGTAAATTCAAGGGAAGAAAAACCAGTGACCGACATTTAGGAAATTAGGATACAATGGCTTACTACATCCAGCAGGCATCACGAGATGCTGTTAGATGCTTCTAAAGATAAAGGGGGTTATATTGTGCGATGACGAGAAAGGTATACGTGATGGGATTAAGTTGGATTATTCAGATGTTTCCTAAAAGGTGTTCAGGGCGGTGGGGTAGCCTAGTGGTTAAAGTGTTCGTTCGTCACGCCGAAGACCAGGGTTCGATTCCCCACATGGGTACAATGTGTGAAGCCCATTTCTGGTTTGTCATTGATGGACCAGCTTTCATGTATAATAAACTCTCTGTTGTCTTTTTTCCAGGTGTCAAGTTGCATTCCGGAGGAAAGCATTCGCAATCATCGACTCTAACGTAGCCCCCTTCTTGTACATTCACACCATCAACAGGTGGCTGGGAATAAGGCTGGTGAGTTCCATGTTGACACTTGGGTTTGGTTTGTTGTTTTACGCCGCACTCAAAAATATTCCAGCTATATGCAGCGTTCACGAATGGTGTTTCAAAGTAACAGGACATTGGGTCCTGTAAGTTTCAGATCTCGGTCTGACCCATTGAAAATTCACAGGACCCACAGAATAAAATTAAACACACATTTCAGATTTAACACTTCTTATAATTGGCATTGAAATTATTAACAAACATAAGATTTATTAACAGCAAACAAGTGTCACATGTCACATATAACAACTTCAGTCAAAATCATTGTGAAATATACAGTAAGACACTGAGACTGGTGGGTTGTAGACTTCTATCGGACCGTTGGCGAATCTGCCGGATTTGTCAGAGGGTCAGACGCTATTCGTGAACACTGGCTATATGGCGACGTAACATATGTTATATTTGGGATTACACTTTCGTAGCAAAGTACAAATTCTGGTACTTTTGGGGTTGAGTCCCATGGGTTGGAATCCATACCCTCATAGCCAGGCACCTAATCGCCAGCACACAGTCAGCTGCCTAACCCGCTCAGCCACCTAACACAAAGTACTAGAATCTGTACTTTACTAAAAAAAGTGTAATCCCAAATATAACATATGTTACATTTGGCCACTTTCTAAAATGGCATTTTGTAATTATTTGGCTACGGTTTGTAAATAATCGAGTCTGAACCAGACAATCCAGTGATCAACATCATGAGCATCGATCTACACAACTGGGATGCGATGACGTGTCAACCAAGTCAGCGAGTCTGACTACTTGATCTCGTTAGTCTCCTCTTACAACAAGCGTGGGTTACTGAAGGTTCATTCTAACCCGGATATTCACAGGTTGACACTTAGGCATCCACTTTGTAAGAGGTACAATAGTTTGGGGTCAGTTCTTCAACTTAATATTATCTCTGCGAAGCAAAACAATTTTTTACACAAATTCTATTTTTATGGGGTGACTGCTACACACTAATTCAGATGAAATCTAACTCAAGTCTTTGTACTGAACCCACGCCTCTTCACTGGACAGCCTTCGTGGTGTAGTGGTTAGAGCATCCACCGAGAGAGCGGAAGGTCGCGGGTTCAATCCTCTGCCGTGTCATACAGAAATACGTTAAAATATGGTACTTGTTGGTCCCTGCCTGGCCATTAATGGGTAAAACAAGGACTGGTCGGCTCGGAGTCAGTATAATGTGTCTGAGTGGGGTATTCATGGTAACTGCGGCATGGTATCTCAGTGGGCTAGCACTATAAAAGCAGCTTCAGTCTGGGCTAGTACAAGAAGCCACACATACACACGCATGCGGGTGGTCATAAGTGCGACGTTAAACCCCATTTGACCTCACTTCACTGAATATCTTTGCTAACACCATAGAGTTTGCATATGATGTTGTGATGGTAGAATGAAGATAACAGACTTTCATTTCAGTGTAGAACTAGGATATCTGTAGATAAACTTCACTGATCTTTATGGAAGGAAACAGTAGTGATTTCAGTTATTCAGTCATCAAGCCCATTCTGATTATCATACTGTGCTCGTGATATATGGATGTGATTTGGAGAGTTTGGTTTCAGGATTACCTGGGCTGCCTCCTGGTGTTCCTGGCAGCCATTGCCAGTCTGAGTGCTGGAGCTCTGGGCAGTACAAACCCTGCCTTCATTGGGCTCTGCATTATGTATGCCCTCATGGTGAGTCGGAATGGGTGCCAGCGATTCCTGAGTGTCAGGATCAGTAAAATGAAGTCTTGCTTCAGTAATACCTGCCTGAAAATCTGACAGCCTTCTTTGCTGCATCAAGTGACTTTTCTCATCAACGAATGATATTTGGTATTCAAAGATATGACAAATATTATGGATGTCAACTTCTTCTTTATTGTATACACAACATTTCTGGGCTTTTCAGCTTACACCCTTTGGTGGGATTGTTTCTATGAGTTAGTAAGAAGTGTTGTGTATACAATAAAGAAGAAGTTGACATCCATAATATTTGTTTTATACAAAGATAGTTGAGGCTTCTTGGTATCTGGGTCAACCGACCTGATTTCTTTGTTTCAAAAATGAACATCAGTGGGCAGTTCAGAATGAAAAATAATAAAGGCCATAACAGAAATATTGATCTTTATACATCCAGTTGTTTGACAGTGCTATAGGCTGCATTATCAAGGGTAGATTTATGTCCTGTATGGGGTTTTGAATATTTAAGATGAATATTTCTAAACCAGTGTGATAATAAATTAATGCTGAATCATTTTACAAAACTGACTTCTGCATCCTTTATGGCTAGGGATAACAACAACTCACTAGCCTCTCACGCCAAAGGCCTGGGTTCGAATCCCGGTGGAGACACCCAACATTTGTGACCTCGGTCTTATACTGTGTTGTGTCCCTGGGCAAGGCACTTCGTCCACATTGCACTCAGCTGTTTAAAATGGGTAACTGAGAAGCGGATGTACGGACCTATATGGTCGCGCGAAGCTCTTAGTAGCAGCTCTGAAGGTACAATTTCGTCAGGGTAATAATGTAACGTCAGAGAGCAGCATCGTGTTGGATTCTAGGCTCAACAATTAGCATTATTATTATTATTAAGTAGGTTCAACTTGAAGCACTTCCAAAAGTTTCCTTAAACATTCTTTGTTTTTCGGAAAGGTGTGTCTTGATAGAAAAAAGTAAAACATTAATTTTGTCTTATCTTTCAGCAATAATCTTTCAGAACTGTATATTTTGTATTAAAACATGTTTCTGCAAAAGATATAATTTTTACTTGTCCTGACTCAGGATCTTGAGCTTATCTCCCTTTCCCATGCGAATGGTAGTGAAACACTTGAATCCCTTGAAGTTCCCGAGGCGGACGTAAAAATACACTTACCCTCGAGTTACCTCCCTTTTGCCCTTTCCTGCGTAAACAGTCATGTGACCAGCCTTACTTGTCACTCTCTCCCTTTTCGCCTAAGTGGATGGTTGGGCGAGCACTGGAGTCCCGTATACAGCATTATATGCTTTTTATTTAGGTCCTATTCTTCAAAATTACGTTGTGTATGCATTTGACAATAACTACTATGTATTATTTGTAAAATATTTGTAAAATTATTTGTATTTGTGTCATAATTTCATCGTTATGTAACTTTGTTTACATTTCATGAAATCTTGCAGTGTTTGCAGGCATAGGTTATCCGTGGCTGATCCTCACCCCCAATGCCCTTTGTGCATAAAACCATGTTCTTCCAGCTTGCGTTGTACCTATTGTGTTGATTTATCAAATCTACAATTTAATCAATATTTGTCTTATATCTATAGACGTGCCATGGATTGGATGAGGAAGTCATCTCAAGCCACGGCTGATAAAACAGGAGATCAGCCTGCCAACCGTATGTTGCTTGCTACTGCTGAAGTTCATAATACTGGTGCTATGTTTAGTACGTTGCAGGAGCAGTCTGCTGGTACGGGGGCCAAGAAGAGATCGGCTATAACGCAGTTGACTCCGACTCAAGCCAAGAAAAAGACGTTTTCTTCTACGTCGCACAAGAGAGCATCTGTTACCAGATCGGAAGGTAAATCTACGTGGCCTAGTAAGTCAACGCATCAGAAATCCTTCAACGAAGAGATATTACCTCCGCGTGAAGTAGACGTTTTTGATGATCCCCCGTTACTTCTACCCGAAGTACCTACGAGATCTGCGACTCAATCGACTTCCAAGACTACTAGATCGTCTACTGCAACTGTCACAGCAGGCCAGCTGTTTGACGACCAACCACCAACTTCTCAACGTAGTGAAGTCGAGACACACAACTCATCAGCGTTTGCGAACGCTTCATCTACGCCGCAGCAGCTTCAATCAATGCAGGACTTTGATCCGGGTGAATTTATGAGACAGTTCACCAACCAGATGATGGCCATGATGGAACGTAGGTTCGAGGAAGAAGCGAAGGCTCGTCGAAGCCTCTCATCTACCGACATCATGCGCAAACCTACAGACCTGCGCGAACCCACGGACCTGCGCGAACCTACTCCTCATAGAACTACCTCTCAAGACTACGTTGGCGAATGTACACCTTTGCGAAGGTCTCCACAGTCTGATGACTGTTTCATCTTGGAGGAGGTTAGAAGACATGAGATGCCTACTCACCGTTCTAAATCTGCGAACCCTCAATGTTCGAGAACATCGAAGGATCCATCTCCTACATCTAGCCACTCTAGATCGAGATCGCATATCTCTCACAGACGTTTCGCGAAGTCACTCAAGGTTCGCGAAGGGATATATCTAGCGACAGAGGTTCGCGAAGAGATGAATCCACAGATAGAGGTTCCCGAAGACAGGACTCTCAAGATAGACGTTTGCGAAGGGAGGAATCTTCAGACAGAGGTTCGCGAAGGGATGATGGAGGTTCGAGAAGGGATACAGGTTCGCAGAATGATGATTCGCGGAGGCATAGCTCTACCGATCAGGAGATAACTGATGAACAACCAGACTTCGTCTTCCCGGACTCAGAGGTTACAGCTTGGATAGCCAATGGTTTGAACTTGGAGTCTCCTTCTAAGGATATAGATGAAGTCTACACTTATAAGATGCGTAATGACAACTTTGACTTGGTGATTATTCCTCCGGTTGAACCTATATCCAAGATACCTTCTAACCTACACCAAGCTTTGAGAAAGCTGCAGACATCTACAAGGTTCGAGAACGCTTAGATCTACAAGCAGATAACAGCAACGCAGACATCTACAGGGTTCGCGAACCCTAGGGAACCAACAGGCAGGATGTTGACATCGACTCTATTACCATAAGGCTGGATAAAACGAAGCAATGATGAAAACGTTTGGCTTTGTCAGAGTTTATAACTCAACAAAAAAGATCTACAACATGTGCGATCTCTACAGTTTACAGCCTGCACAAACCTTACACCTGTAATAGGTTCATTTTCGGACGACAACCTACTTGATGAAAGGAATCCCTTCATCTACACTGATGCTGAGGTCTTATACCGGGTAGCAAATACCCTGCGGATATTGTCTTCACTCACTCACTCCAAACCAACAGAGACGTACTGCATATACGCTGATGACTTCGACTACAATATGATATCACCTATGAAGCCGATATCTCAAGTACTGGAGAGGCTCAAGGCGACCTTTGTAAAGGGCTTAAGGTTAACAACGCCTTCAAGAATACTTGAACGGAAGTACAGATGATATTATTAACACTCGTCACTCAGTGTGGGGATTAGGATTTTATATCCTATCAACTAGATTCAACATCATTATTTCTTCAAGATCCATACAGACATACGTCTCGACAGCTTCCTTCGTCATGCTGGCTTATATTATCCCCAATGGGAATACGTGATTTATATCACTGAACAAGATTTAACACTTGGAGCAACCCTTATTCAAGAGGTTTATATGAGCGGCGTAGAATTACGTGCGCTTTTACTCAACCAACTATTGCACCAGTTTTTATGAAGGCCAACTTGCTACAACACCGGTGACGTCATGCTTGAAGCTGATTGGTCCACGTCAGACAACGCCTCCCACTGCCAGAGCAGGCACCAGCAAGTTTACTGACTTGTAAACAAAACCGTGGTACGGGGGAATACTTCATCGGCAGCCTTGGAGACAGCATACAACTACGGCCTGTTATCATCATGGGAATCTAATAGATGTCTAGCCTTGACAACAGCTTAAACGATGTATATTTTGGAAGTTGTCGCTGATAAAAGATCGCCTGCGTATATAAGGGGAAGAATGATTTATCATCACTGCAATCAGAGGTTAGCACTTCCAATGGAACATCCGTTTGGAATATCGTAGGCTCTATGATTACTCATACGAATAACCAAGCCTATCGGCACCTGTCTGCAGCAATCTGCAGCATCGAGGTCTACGCAGTGCCGGTTACTGTAAACGTACTTATTTTTCCTTATCCTGACTCATGTTTATTTGCTTGTCTTCTTCTTCTGGCGAACCTAGTGGAACACTTGTATCTCCCAATTGAAGTTCCCTTCAATAAAAAATCACTCATTAGTACTGACCACGAGTTACCTCCCTTCCACAAGCGCGGGAACGAGGGCGCCACCTGAACCCATGTGCCTCACTCTCTCCTTCTTCGCCCAGTGAGCAAGACGTGAGAGCACCTGTGTCTCCCTGCACACTATATCCTTTATTTATATTTAGTTTGTTACCTCTTATATTCATCTATAGAGGTGTAACTAGTATCATTATTCAACATGCATTGATAATTATTCGTGTTTCTGCTGCTTGATTCACGGTTCGCCGTGTTGCTCAGCAGTTTGCGTTAATAAAAATCTGCACTGTTTGTAAATTACGTTACTCTGCTACCGATCCACATTTAAAATGCCCTAGTTGCATTACTCCATGTTCTATTGTTTCTTGTTGTAAATTATATATTAATTTACCAATTTCTGCCTTTTGATAAATATTTATGTTCTGTTTTGAGAGTGTCCCCCGCCGTGATATTGCTGGAATATTGCTAAAAGCGGCGTAAAACTAAACTCAGTCAGTCAGTCTGTTTTGAGACGGAAGGCAGATAAATCTCGGAAACAATCTTCAGTCATGGCTAGTAGATCGGAGTCAGATATATCCTGAGTTGCCTTCGGGGGATAAGCGTGGGACGCAGTCCGCTATGTCTAGAAGCGACCTGCTTCCCAGGACGTTCCTTCATCACAGTATAAAAC